CTCACATCTGCAACACAATGATGATTTATGTCCATGCACGCTGGCCTATGCTAACCGACGACGAAAAATAAACAAAATGTTTTTCGATGCATTGAAATGAAATAAACATTGATGCAAAAGTTTAACTTGAAACAGTTAAACTGAGGGGTAATATTACATGCGAATATAATTTTAGATTTGAAGTAAACAACATGAAGCTAAATATTAGAATAACTTAGAGTTAATACATATAAATAAGCGAAAATGCCAAAATTGTCACATACAGTTAGAAGCAACCCGTACACCCTACACTGTCAGCATGCAACAAAATTACATATTAACTATGGTAAACTTAGTGAAGCAACCTTATTAAATTTCAAAGAATTATCCAATTTTTACAATTCATGTTCGCAGGTTCAAGATTTAGCGAGTAATCCTTTTGTATCACATCAACAACCTTATAAACATACTGCAATAGTCTAGTTTGTAACTTAGTTAAATTCCATCACTTTTTGAAATGTAAGGGTGAACTGCCTCTATATGGTTTTCGTACAGAAAAATCAGCAGATAGAACCGACTATAGGCTTAAAAATCATGGAATCCGAAATTCCAATAAAACTAGAATGGGTTAAAACGTCATCGTCCACCATAGTTGCGACAACACTATATACCGTTAAGATCAGGAAGAACACAACTTTTTGAGATAAATACAAACTTATATTGTTAGAATGTGCCAAAATTGCCAAAAAAATATTAGCCTAGTTAATTACAACTGGCACCACAAACTATGGCATAAAATAGAGCATACGGTAGATCTCAAGGTGATAAGTGAATTAACAATAAGCCAGCAAAGGATCAAGAAGTATTGAACAAACTCATCATCATCATCCACAGAAAACACAAACTAAAAAGGGTTCTTTAGTATAAACAATAAAACATTAATCTACATGATTCAATTCATTTGTTTGGTTTTGTTTTTTCTTATAACAACTCTACAAATATGTATATACATGTGAGGAATTCCATGTCAACTCCCCTAAAAAGAGAAGATTTTTCTGAAACTTTGCACACACGTAGCTCGTGGTCAGAGAAACTTATCATTTAAGTTCTAGAGCCTAAATCACATTGCGCTTTTGTCACATACAGTCACAAAATATAGATTTTTCAAAAATGCCAACACTATGGACTTTGAAAGAAATTATAAATAGAAGAAGCCGTAAATATGGTTTTGTAAGATTTTTTCCCGTCGATTATAATTAAAATATTTTTTAACTTTTTTAGGGTTGTTTTCACGGTTCTTGAGGCGTTGGAAGTTTGAAAAATAAAACTTGCAAAGTATGAACTTTTTACTAATGCTTTTTTCCAATTATATGTCTGGTACTCTCAAATAATGTATCTTTTATAACGAGATAAACATGGATCTAATCACTAGAGAGCTCTAGCTGTTAAAATTGTTATTAATCAAACAACATAATAATAAAACGACAACTTTATGCATGTATAATGAAATACAGTAGAAAATAGAAATTCCTCAAAAATCCACTCTTAGACTTGTACAAGTGCTAGACATGTCTTTTAACATGTACCAAAAGCTAAAAATGTAGGGTTCTGAGTCCACTGCCATTATTATTATTATTTTTTTTTTTTTTTCTCACACCTGAAACCTTTTCAAGAAAAGTTATAAGGTGTATCAATAGGTGTAGTAGAAAAAAGTTTGCCAATAGACGAAAATTAATCGTATAAATGTTTAAACATCAGTGTAATAAGGAATATTCACTCTAAGATCTTGTAAAAAAATCGATTGGCAATATCATTCAATATCATTAAATGAACTTTTCATAAAAGCATCTAAAACATCCTTCATGTTTCATCTAGGTCCGTTTGGGGACTAAGCGTTGTAAGACTATACTATGGTAAACGTAAAACATTACACTATTAGCCAAGAACTGAGTACGGTTTGTTTTTATTTGAAAATAATGCGTCTTGTATAAAATAAAGAGTTTTTAGATTAAAAAATTGTAAAACTTAAAATAAGAATCAACCATCTTGAACCCCTCTTTTTAAAGTTCATTGTTCGAACTTTACAGAAAAAAATAGTGAGCATATTTATCCCTTCATACAAAGTTTTTTTTACAAATTTATATGAACCTGTCAGACAAAACGTTTAAATAGTCCATTTTCATAGTTAGAGAACTCTACTGACCAGATTTTTTCTCATTCTATTCTTCAACAAAATTTTTTTTTGAAATTATAGAACACGTTAAGAAAAAAGCATAGAAAAAACGTCATGTTTTACAAAATCTCATTTTTTGAAGTGGAATTACTACTAGTTCATGGGTGCTGTTAAAGGCATTGACCCAAAAAAAGAAATTAAAGAAGGAGGTATTATAATATATACATTTCACAGACATAACATTATCATTCTCTTTAAACATACGCATGTTACTAGTATGTAAAATTGTCTGTAAGTTAAATTGTCTGCTGGTTCCACGGCCTGGAAAGAAGCGTGAGAGAAGAATCCACAACTAAGATTAGTTTTAAGTTAAGGTAAAATTACATAATTGCTTTAGAAGTTACTTAACACATAGATTTGTATAATTCCCTACTACAAAATATAAAAGTTGATTTAAAGTGTGGACCCTGATGAGATATACGCCTAAAGTAAGAGATGAGTTACAATTACTATAACTAAGCTTAATGTGGTTAGCCGGCTTTTCAAAGGTTTCCTAATACAATTAATCTCTGATTTAATGCAGGGTATATAAAAATTAGTTGCACGGTAAACTGTGACTATAAAAAACTATTTCTAAAAAAAACTAGTCCTATTCCATTAAAATTTATTTTTTTTTTTTTATGTATTCTTATTAAAAATCAAGTCTGGTCGCCAGCTACTACAAAAAAACTCTGGGAGGCTTATGCTTTTTGAACTTGCAATGTTATACATTGTCTATAAAATTAACGATTTGGATAACTCTTGGCATTCTGACAATTAGGTCACAAGGAACATTAAAAATATTTTTTACTGCCCTTACGGTACACATAAATTAAAGACAAAAGTATCCCTTTATTTTCTCGTTACAATGCGTGAGAGAATTAATGCTATTCATGAGGCTCAATAAAATTAGCTAGGTCATAGTATACACAGTAAGGCACAGTACTTGCCGAGGTCACATTAACTCACATGCATCTAAGATATATTCTGCGTAAACCAAGTCTGAAGCTTCCCAAATATAAGTTCTTACCATAGTAAGGATCAACTCGTTTAATTAATAGAACTATGCTTTCACGATTGGTTTGTCTAATACCTTTCAACTAGTAAAACTCACAGAAAATGAAATTATCCTAACATTGCTACTTCCTAAGATTATCTTCACAAAATTTTATCTGACAAAAGTCAGTAATTCTGACAGCATATTTATCACAATGCTTGTCAACTAAAAAATTTTAATCTGGGTGAAAGTACCACAGCTAATACCACAATGACAGTACAGTAAAAAAGTACTACAGATATTCTTACTAACATTCGACGTACTAATATCTGTCGTGAAATAGTTTACATAAAAGTTAAAACTATCTATAAGAAAAATTGAACGATAAGAAAAGTTTTTTTAACCTAATACCTTAAAATATGTAGTTCTAAAAATTGTTTATGTGCACGTGCATTTAAACGTTCATGTATATTTGTAAGCTAGCTTTTTGTTGAGTGAAACATGTCTTTTTTTAGAAATAATGATTTTAAAAAACTTTTTGCTGTATGATTGATGTATCATCGTGTTTTAATAAGGGACTTTGACGTTGCCGTGAACATTCATGGCTTAAAATTAGGTTTTTGTAACGATTAAACAATTCATTATTTTTCTTCTTTATTTTTTATCATTATTTTCTTAACGATAAAACTGTTTTGTGAGTAAGATATTTGATTACAAGACAAAATCAATGAAATAATACAATCCGAGCCCCCTTTACTATAAATAACAGTAAATATTTAGTTCTGACTACTTTAGAATTTAAAAAGGTTATTTTTTTATTTTCTACAAGATACTTTCGTAAAATGACAAAGACTTGGACATTTTCTGTATACAACGGCTCATTTTTGCTTTATTTACACTAGAATTTTTTTTATAACTTTAACTTCTTTAAAAAACCTGTAGACTTATTTATTATTAACTTTCATTCTTGTCCTATTTTATAACTAGTAGGAAAACAACTAAATTTAAAATTTTTTACTTCCCAAGATGAAATCACACGTATATTACTGGTAATTTATTTTGAAACCATACAAATGGATACTTCATGTGTATACTGTATTTTCTGATCGTAGCATAATCATTTTTACAGATATGGTTATCAAATACATCGTAAAAAACTACTTTGGTAATAAAAGCTTTGTTGTGCTTCAAAACCATAATATAACAAATATCTTCATGAAATTTTTGTCACAAACAAGTAACACTAGTAGTAAAGTTTCTGCTCCACCAAAGTTACTTTTATAACACATGTTCTTAAGATTATGACTATCATTCGTGCAGCTCGAACATTAGATTTTTTATGAAAATAACATTATTTTTGACTTGCTTCAAAATACTTGTACTTGATTTATGCATAAAAGTAATTTTAAGGAGTTATTAAAAGGTACAAAATCTGTTTTAAATTAAACAAACTCCAACACACTAAACAAATTAATCAATAAGTTTTAATATTTTTCTAACAATTTATTTTCAAGTCAGCGGATGTTTAAGTAACCGTTAGGATCATAAACCAACTATTTAAGTTATATAAAAGAAAGTGCTTCATTGTCTAGGGTTTTATGTTCTCAAAGTGGAACTTGTGGCCTAAAATAACGTTATTATAGGACCTTATTATCAACTATAATAATGTTTCTAACAAGCAATAGTAGTAATTTTTATTATATGAATACTAAAATGATTGCAGGTAAAGTTACGATAAAGACTTAAATAGAAGCAGAGCTTATTCTTCTTAACGTAATTAACAAAAAAAAAGTATATACTTGTAGAGAATACCTGTTTTTGAGAGCGCTCGATCGTTGTATAGTTATTACTTGCATTAATTACTGTAAAGTCTTTTTCAAAGTATAAATATTTAATGCAATGTGTAGCACCAACCCAAGAAGCAGTCAGGCAGATTGTCACGCAAATGCCAAAATAAATCTACAAAAAGTAAGGTTATTAATTATTAAGTTTCGAAATAAAATTATCTTAAGAACACAAAAGAAAACATTGTACAATATAAGTTTCCTTTATAGCTTTAATTTTATTATCCTTTTCTTTTATGTTTCATGAAAAGAAAAACTTCTTCTAACAAAACAGCTAAGAGATTAAAAATGATTCCATACAAAGAACAATAAAGTATAAATAAAGCTTTATCTGAAACAGAAAAAGAGGTAACTTGTGCTTTTTCTCTTTAACTCTACAGGGTAAGGTATAACTTAACATTTAGATGACTATGCGTTTCGGGCTGGTAAGAGACAACTGAGATATTTAATGTATAGAAGAATATTTTTTAAGCAGCAATAAAATGCTTACAGAAATTTATTTTGCACTTGATCAAATACATTCAATACATACAATCATATACATTTTATGAATCATTTAACAACTCAAAAACTTCTAACTTTACTGTAAACAACATTCAATTAAACAAAATAAAAATAATAGTCCTTTGGTAAGTCCAAAAATATTTGTCTTAAGATAATTTGATTGGATGTACAACAATTACTTGTTTACTTACTTTTACTCACTTAGTTACTGCCATAAGACTTTTTTTTGGTCACTAAAATAGAGCGCTTTGTAAAGGAAAGAAGTTACTTATTAAAGAAATTTGCCAGAAATGTTATTTCTTAAAATTTCATAAATTCGAAATTCACTACGCTGCCAAAAAAGCAACATTTCAGGATTTTTTCAACTAGTTTTCTTTAGCCAAGATTTTTTTCTTCTACAGTGCTTAGGACCACTAAAACGATTTTGGTATGCATGTGGGCGAGTATATTTTTATAAGCGTGTGTACGTCAAGTCTTATCTCACAATCAAGGGCTCATTCTCTGTTAAAATTTCTTACTAACTTAGATAGAGAGTGTAATTATTTACGATCTTACTCTCGTTATGTTGACAATGTATAAAGTAAAGTCGCAAAAACCGTTGCAACCACTAACCACTAAAACTGCTCAACCAATCTTGCTAAAATTTTGCATACTGATTCTTGACACTTCCTAAATAGTTTTAGAAAAGTTTTTATCTTAAAAAAATAAATAACAATAGAAAAAAATTTAAGTAAGCCTGCTTATAACATGCTCGAAAAAATTGCTGAATATTACATACGTTCACTGCACCAACAACACTATTATCTAATGGACAAGCAACGAATGCCAACAAAAAATAAACGTTCTTATCACTAACATCTCCAGCGTAATAATAGGAGACATCTAGCTAAAGCTCAATCTGCTCTAGCTATTGGGGATTTCATGGCCATTCTTCAAATCTACCTGGTACCACTAAAGCAGATTGTGGTACGTTACCAAGGCAGGGAGAACAACCCTTGAGGAGTTTGGGCAGCCACAACGGCTTGTTTCTAAAGTCCTCAGTGGTTCGTTGCAACAGCATACCCACACAGAAGGTATATTCTCCAGGCCCACTTCTTCAACTAACGATGAGCGAATGGTTATAAGAGGAATGACCCAAATACGAGATAGTTTTTGGCCAACGGAGAACATCCCTCCAGCACGGTCTTCGCACCCAGATACTCTAGGAGTGAGAGTTAAGCTACCCACAGCTGCCCTTGAACTACTTGAACCGACTTCCTGGCTCTTAATCATCCAAAATGATATTAAGAAATGACTGGAAGTATCACTACTGGTGCTTTTCAGGGCCGTTATAAGTATTAACATTTCCTAACTAACCATTAATATCACGGTTCTTCTTAAGGCCATGTGACGTTCAACTACCTTACCAAAAAACACATTTTTACCACCATTTCTAGCAACAATTCGTTAACTGAATGATAACATAAAGCTGGCCACTATAAAATCAAATCAGTTATTCACTGGTGGACATCACAAACGGAGTTCTTCGTCACGAGGCTAAGAACCCTGGCCATCGATGACGCTGTATTACCCTCTTGACTCTAAGTATTGAACCAGGAATCACCGATCCTCTCTAAGGTCTGCGCTGGGCAAAACTAACAGCTATGAAGAAAAAAAGAAACTTGAGCAAATAGAACAGTCTATAACGAGCAAGTATCACGAACGAATATTTCCAACTTGAATCACCAAAACGTTTGAGCTCTGCAAAAAAAGAAGGTGCTTTGGACACCAACGTCTTCAACGTTATATTAGGGGATGTTCAGAAAGATCTATACAACTAGAACGCTTCAGACGTTATTTTTTTACCGATCAGCCTGGTGCTACAGCAGCAGGCCAGAAAAGATCACTCTGAGGTATCTAGGCAGTCACGTTTGATAGAAACTTCAGTCAAAAAAGAGCTTAGCTTACCAATCCTTTTTAGGGCCATCAGACATTGAACTATCTTGTCAACAAATATGTTACAACTCAATAAATTTGAAAAAAAAAACAGTCTTTTCATATCCTAAAAGTTTTAACCATGCCTATAGTCGCAAGAAAGAGAACTTCAAAAGCATCTCATGTATCCAATTTAAGGTGTTAAGAAACTCACGCAGAACATTTATTGAGATTGAAGCAGCAGCATCAAAATTATTACATTATATAACAAATAAATAATTTATTAAGTGAAAGATCAGCTTTCCATTAAAACCTTTACAGTAATCACTTAAATCTTCTAGATTTTTTGAAAGCTAAAATAGTATGTATTTGTAGTGGTGATAAAAAAACCTAGAGATTTAGCTCCAGCACTTTGTTGCTCTCGTAGCAAAGTTTTAAGATTGGAAAAAACAACCTCTTCACTCATATATTTTTGTCAGTTTGAAATCTTAACAGTTTCAACAAAAAGACCGATTCATCTATTATAACGTGAGAAAGTGAAAATCAATGACCTTTTAGGGCCGATAACTATTTTATTCCGTAATCAGCGCACGGTACTTTTCACCATTATTATATTTTTTTTATTTTTTATAGCTTATAATTTTACCAAATAAACTACATGAACATCAAACAGAAATGTTTTTGATAAAAAGTTTTAGGTTCTGAGAAGTGTCAGGAATGGATGTAAAATTTTTTACTAAATTTTTTACTTTACGTGTCAACACACTGCGATGTTCTCTTTAGTAAGTCTCGGACAAAGATAAGACAGGTTTGCCGCTAGTATTTAATAAAATCAATTTAACAAAGCCCATTTTCTCTCAAATGTAGTGTTATCCAGAAGACTGGCTTTGGGGTGCTCACAAAATAAATACAAGGAACTTTATATTCAGTCGTTTTATAATTAATCATTCGTGGTAAAAGCGTCATCGTACATGGCTGTCGTTTTTATCAGTTTTATATCCCTTCTTACATTGTCTACGTATATATTCCTAATTATACTATTTTTATATTCAGAGTTTTACAATTATTTTGTATTTTTTGAGTCGTTTCTCGATCCAAATTGCATAAGTTTTAACAAGGACTGTTCCAATGCTGGTTTCTTATTAACATATCCCTTGAAATTGTAATCATTGAGTGTAGTAAAATTTTTTTATGTTTGAGAAACTTCTTGCTAATGCATTTATAAGTGTATCAATATTAATTGTTATTCTATATTTCTGTCATATAATTGTAGCTTCTACTTGTGCATATATGTGTTGACATTATTGGAAAAAAAATTACAATAGTTACTATCAGGACAAATTCGTAATTGTGCTGATAGTTCACATAATTTTCTGATGTTATAAGTGCATATTTTTTCAAACGTAGAATCTGCATAAGGCACGTTTCATAAACTATAAATATAGATATACTTGAGGTGCCTTACCCCTACACGCTAGGCCTGGCAACTCCAGCCATTCTAATCTAAAATAACAGTCGTGTCGTTTAATATACCAATATGTATAACTCTTTAAATTTTTACGAGACCACATTCTTCTTACATTTTTGTTTAGATCTTATTAATACATCAAAATCTGTCAAATTTTGAACAATTCATATATTCCTCGAGTGATTTCAATTCATCATTTTAGTAATTTTTCTACAAAAAGCTATTTTGTTAATTCTAGATGTAAAAGATAGACAATATAAAAACAATTTTTTACAAAAAAATTAACTTAAAGCAAAGCAAGCAATTTTCTTACAAAATTTCTTATTCACAAATAATTTTATGACTCTAAACAAACGGAAGCATTGTTTCAATGTTTACAATCTAAAAAAAGCTGCTTGAAAATGATTATAAAGGTAGAAAGGATTTTTAACAAAAAAGACGAGAATAGTAAGAACGTTCAATTATACATGTCAATAGTGTTGTACGTGTTTTTTATGTACAATTATGTATAGTTTTCCTGATTTCTTATCAGTTGTAAGTAATGCTTAAATGTTTCAATTTGATAATAATGTCGTTTCTACCTTTGTTTTATCACATACCCTATTTACTTTTCTGACTAACTTCACTACTGATGAAATTTTTAAACGTAGTCTATGAGGTCAGAATCTTTACAAATACTATGTAAGACTTGTAGTGTCAAATAAAGAAAAAATTTCAACATCAATAAAAACGTTTTTTCTTTATTGCTTTATTCATACTACACTGAGTAACAATACCTCTTTTAAAAAAAGGCAAAATTTGATTCTTGAAATAGTTAGTAAATTTATGATGTGACAAAAAATTCCTCTATCGCACTTTGAATTCGACTAATCATAAAATTTTTTGAAGCATATAATATCTGTTCATAACTTCTTTGGATCAATGAAGCGTTCTACATTTTCGTACTCTTTTTTTTATAATTCTTAAAATTTAGCTTTATTTAAACGGAAACTTTCATTTAATCTTAACATTTTAAGTAATAACCATAGATACAAAAATTTAATTTTTTTTTTTAATACTATTCTGCTTCTGTTACTTTTTAATAATATACGAAATTTTTCAGAAATCTACACCTAAAAAAATTTACATGATTCCAGATGGTTCATAACTATTGATTAGGGATTTAAATAACTGTTTCCAAATCTATTTTGAGGACCATTTAAGCCTTATCCTGATTAGTTTAATTAACT